TCCAGTCTCTTATTTTCTGGGGATTGAGTGTGCTCGTTCTCCGACTGGTATGGTTCTCTCTCAGCGTAAGTATGCTCTTGACATTATTGATGAGGCCAATCTTCTTGGTTGCAAGCCTGTGGACACTCCATTACCAATTAATCATAATTTGGCCCGATCTACTAGTGCTGAGATTCGTGATCCTCTTAAGTATCGTCGTCTTGTGGGTCGTTTGTTGTACCTGACCATTACTCGTCCAGATATTTGTTATGCTGTTCACACACTCTCTCAGTTTATGCAGGCCCACGTCTTGACCATTGGAATGCGGCTCTTCGTGTCCTCCGTTATCTCAAGGGACACCCTGGTCAGGGTATTTTGTTGTGTAGTGACAGCAATCTCGCCCTTACTGCCTTCTCTGATTCTGATTGGGCTAGCTGTCCTCTTACTCGCCGATTTGTCACTGGTTATTTTATTTTATTGGGTGGTTCTCTTCTGTCTCATGGCGCACTAAGAAACAGACTACTGTTTCCCGGTCTTCCGCGGAGGCTGAGTATTGCGCTATGGCCAATGCATGTGCTGAAATTCGTTGGTTGCGTGGACTTTTGGCGGCTTTGGACGTTCGGTGTGTCGCGACTCCACGTTTATATTGCGACAACAAGTCGGCTTTGTTCATTGCCGCGAATCTAGTGTTTCATGAGCGTTCGAAGCATATCGATATTGATTGTCATATAGTCCGAGAATGCCTTCAGCGCAATCATATTGTGACAGCTTATGTTCCTACGCGTTTTCAAACGGCGGACATCTTCACAAAGGCCCTCTCCGGTCCTCTTTTTCGTAGTTTGTTGTCCAAGTTGGGCATTTATGATCTTCATGCTCCAACTTGAGGGGGAGTGTTAGCCTAGTATTTTATGTATATTTTGTTTATTGTGTATTGGGCCGTGCATAGCTTGGGCCCGTGACTTGTATTCTCGGCTTTGTATATAAACTCCCGGTGATTAATGGAAAACACAGTTTTCACGTAAAATATTTTTACAAAAAGTCAAAGAGATTAAATAAGTTTTTCTTATTTATTTATTTAAAGAACAAAAAATTAAGAAATCTACATATTAAAAATAAGGACTAGATTGGATGAGGATCGGTCCTAACCGGATTACTCGATCCCAATAGGTCAATTTTTTTAATATAAAGACCGGACTAGTTTGGACCAATCTCGTGATAAATACTATACAATACTCCCTCCGTCCTAAAACCATCTTCTCGGTTTGACTTTAGACTTTTAATAAAGGATTGAATAATTTGACTTTGACTTCCAAGAAAATAATTACTAGAGGGTGTTGCTATTGATGTCAAAAGTAGAGTTGTAGTGCATACTAGCAGGAAAAGAGTGTGTAGATTTAGAGTCCATTCCAAACATTCCTCTCGCCCAAAGGACAACCATCAGGGCCTTGACAACTGCCCTTGATATGTCCAAATCCACTATCCATCTTAAGAGAAGTTTCCTAAGAAGTCATTCTAATGCAATTAAACCTTTATTAATAGATGAAAACATGATGCATAGATTACAGTTTTGTTTCAATCAATTAGAACCCACTAGCATTCCTTGTAAACCCATGTTTAAAACTTTTCATAATGTTCTCCACATGGATGAGAAATAGTTTTTTTATATCCAAAACATCACAGAAATATTATCTAACTAAGGATAAACTAGATCCCTGTAGGTCAAAGCAATTCATTAGTAAGGTCATGTTTTTATATGTTGTTGGTAGACCATTAATATCAGACAATGGAGAGGCTTTTTATGGGATGGAAAAATAGGAGTATTTCCATTTGTTGAGATTGTGGCTGCTTAAAGAAAGAATAAGAACAGGGAGGCAGGGGTTTAAGAATTGAAGAAACTTCTCAATGTTGCCAAAGAAGTCACTAAAGAAATGTTGCTTAACCAACGTATCTTTGCAATTAAGAAGAAATGGCCCTCTTGCTTATACAAAAAAAATAGTGCTCCAGCAAGATAATGAAAAGCCACACATGCATTTCTGCCACAAACCCCGAGTTTATGGAAGCAACAACTGCAAATGGGTTTAACATAATCCTAAGTAACCAACCCCTAACTTCCCCAGACCTTAACATTCTAGACTTGGGTTTTTTTTAGAGCCATGCAATCACTCAAAGAGAAGTGTGCTCCTAAAAATGTGGCACAACTAGTGAAAGCAGTTAGAGGTGCATATGTAGCACTTACAGCAGAAACATTGAACAATGTACGGTTGAACTTCCAACATGTGATGCCAAAAGTCATGAATAATAAGGGAGGAAACAAGTATATGAAAAAAGATAGATTAGCTAGAGAAGGAGTAGTGCAGTCACTATAAATGTACCCCAAACACTGCTAGAGAAGACTTTAAGGGTGCTGACTCAGAGGAGTGGGCAAAATGAAGAGAAAGTGCTGCCCGAGTTCATTACTAAAGATGGAGAAGACTTCTCATATTCAGAGATGAACTAATTCTTTATCATACCACCAAGGCATTTGTTTTTTCTTGTGAATGATTGAGTACATTCTTTTTAGGTTTTTGAATTTTGTAAATATATACAACATGTAAGTAGTAAAGAGTAGGAAAGTAAGCTTTTCACTTTTTTGTTTCAACATCAAGGCAACTACTCGAAATGTACTCCAACCAGTTTTCTTTTACTACCACTCAAATTATGTACTTTAATGAACTACTTGAACTTTACAACTAAACTACATATTTATCATTGTTGTGATTGTGCTATAACTGTGTGCGTTGTGTCCAATTACGCATGAAAATGAAAAGATTAAAGAAAGAGGAACTTCACTTTCCACTCCTGGTGGGAAAGCAAGCCTGGAATCACTTAGGCCCCGCCAACCCCCTCGTCGGTGACACGAGAGTGGCTGCCCATCTCAACACCTCGATGCTCTTCATCCGATTTTCTCCCAAAGCCTCGCACGTGGTCATCCTCTGTAACACCCTAATTCGTCTAGGTCTGCAGCCTGCAGCCCGTTTCAGAGTAAAGTATAAACTTGGAAATCGTCAAATTTAAAACATTTCAAATACTTTTATTTATCATAAATAATATTATTCATAACAGAAACAATATAGAGTTTTCAATGTTGCGGAAGCGTAATAAAAGATGTCACATGACAATCACAAATAATTAATTTATGTCTTCAGAAATTTCAATCATCACATCCATTCCGACCATATCATCCCCTCTGCTGACAGGAACATGTCACATCATTCTTTCTGTTTTCCTGAAGCAAATAAAAATATACTACACGCTTAAAGGTGAAGCTGAGTAAGGATATCTAATGCTTCGAACATCCACATAAATTGAATCTCAATTCACAAACAAATCATTTGATATCATGCCCATAATATACAACTCAAGGATTCATTATTTATTATTTATAATATCAACAGTGCTCTTAACTATTCTTAGTCTAAGGCCAATTTCATATCGATAACAAAGCTCTTAGTTTATTCTTAGTCTATGACAATATTTCTAACCGGGCTCTTAAACTATAATTATTTTAAGGCAGAACACAAGAATCAATAACCTATCCTATGAGTGTTATAGGTCACGTTCCAAACTGAGCAGTGGACTAGTCACTGTCGGGTGGGTGATATCCCGAAACGAGTAGATACTCAACTTTTGTTTTTGGATCCCGTATGTATGTTTTAACCCTGGCTACCAGGAATCATACCCGTAAGGCCTAACAAATTTGGTTACATAGGTATATATTAGAGTTCCTCTAGATACCCTTAAAAATAAACATCATTTTCATAAATATCAATATATTCATTTTTAATCATGGTTCAACCATTCATACTTATCATTTTAATCAGGATATTCATCAAGGTTTAATCATCATAATCAATAATCAATAATAATCAACATAATATTTAATACTCCCTCCGTCCCACAAAAAAGTTTCCATTTTAAATAGTATTTAGTCAAATATTTACACGCTTTGACTACAAATTGTGAGAAAAGTATATTAAATTATAAAATAAATTTAATATAATTGGATTCATCTTAGGATCTAGTTTTGATATCTCAAATTTTTTATCATTTCTTTAATTAGACTATATTTAATTTATGGTCAAAGCGTGTAACTGTTTGACCAAAACTACATCGAAATGGGAACTTTTTTGTGGGACGGAAGGAGTAGGAAATAACGACCTAGCGTTGAGTGTTAACACCCTAGCTTATCGTCATGCATCACATAAGGTTCTTGAATTTACCAAAACATCATATTTATTTCTAGAAATCATTTTATATTGATCATAGTTGAATGGTAAAAATAAAATTTTACAATTCAAAAATTAGGTTTATAAAAAAGCTCCAGGTTCAGAAAGACCCCTTGTGATACCCTCAGCTTCATTGTTGAGCGTGTAGCCTCTTTTTCATTTATTCTCTATTCTTAAAAGTCTTGAAATTTGACTTTCCAAAATTTTAAGTGTTGAAAAGAAAAAATATTCTCTCCGTCCCAAAAAAAAAAAGAATCTTAAACTTTGTGTCAAATCAAATTAAAAGCTTTTTAGGATGGAGAAAGATTGAATTTGTTTAAGAAATAAAAGGAAAATTGTGAGTCACGTGGTACATAAGAGGGAGAATATGAAAGGAAAAATATTAAAATATGAGTAAAATTTTGAAAATATACCAAAATAAGACTTCCATGTTTTTATTCCCAAGATATGAGTCAAAATGCATTTACATTACCAAACGTGATCATGTACATTATCAAATAGTATAATAATGTGCACGTGTACAGTGCCACATTACCCCTCACATTACCACAATGCGAACTTCTATTTTAAAAATAAAAACATAACTTCTATTTTGAAAATAAAAACATGAAGTTCTATTTTGGTACTTTTAATATATTTTGGTCTTATTTAGGGTAATTTCTATAACATATGAAAAGAAAAAGTGTGAACTTTAATTTTGAACAAAGAAAAATATTTGTTCCTAAATAACAAGGAAATTTAACTATACTTTTAAACAAAAAGAATACATATTTAGTCTATTCATAGAACATAATAGCCTGGGAACCCTATGTTATGGTTCAACGTCTTCAACTATGTAAGTATGAACCATTGGGTTTCGACAAATGAAGAGGATGAGTTTAAGAAAAGAATGGTCAAAAGATGGAAAGACCCATTTATTATTTGAAGAGAAAAATCTTGGCTACACAGGCAACAAAACTTAGAAAATATATTAATCCAAGTCCTTATTCATAGAGTTTCCTACGGACATCTCTCTATCTCTACTCTCAATTTGAAGAATATCAAAACAGCTCTCCTGAAGATGTGCTGCAAGCCAAGAAAATACCGAAACGAAGCTTCACATTCAGCGCACTGAAGCACAAATAGATGGCTGGCTGTACAATACCCCGATTCCATTGCTGATCTTTGATCGGTTTCTTCTCCGCTTGGTGACTGCCACAAAACCTTCAGAATCACCATTGCCACTACCATTCAAATCAACAGTTTTTAAGCCCTCATTGTTCATTGTTTCTGTTAACTGTGCAGTGTTCTCTTTCTCCTTCCCATATTGTATCTTTATTATGGCACTATCATTTGCAATAGCTTCGGCTGAGTTTGTGGGAAGTTCCGATTCCTTAACTACAGGAGTTTCTGTTGGGGCATCTGAACTGTGCTGCACGGACTTCACAATGAAGCTAAGTAGTATCTGCCTGGCTAGTTCTGTCCTTTCAGCATCGGCAGCAGCTTTTGAAGGCTTGCTGTTTTTAGCATCAACACTGGACTTCTCCACAAAAGAATCTGAAGCACGGGGGTTGCGTTTAGAATCTTCCGAGGTGGAACGAACTCTCCATGCCTTTTTTGGAACAAACTCAGGAGCATGTGGATTCATACCTCTAGGCAGGCCAAATACATCTCCTTCACCGGAAGATACCAGATACTTGGGGTACGCATATTTAATGCGGGAGAAGCTAGACCTGTAGTACATTGGAGATCTTGGACCACAGGGGACTCTTGCCGCAATTGATGGAAACCCCACTGTCTCGAAAAACACACTGTGCCTGGAAAATTCATCGTAGGCACTAGCAACAGCAGCACGGTTTAGCAAATGCGTGACAGCATAGGCACCTGGATTGAATGGTTCAGCAGATGCAGAAAGCTTGCTCCCATTAGCCTCCACTGACTTTTCCTCAGTACATGGAGATGAAACGTCTTCAATCTCACTTGATGAGCTCTCAGACATAGCCCCAGTTGTTTGAACTTCTTTGTTATCAAGATCGCTACATGTGTCCTCCACAGTCACTGTGTGCCCATGATCAACAGCATGGCCAAGAGTGTCATCCACTCTTTCTGTGAGCCTTCCATCCTCTGCCGATGTCTCGGGCTGACTATCAGCAATCAGTGACTCAGAATTATCTTGACTTAATTCTTCAACTTCTATCGGTACGGGCTTCAGGACCATACCTGGTGGGGCAACTGCTACATCTTTATACGACAGTGAATTAGAGGATATAGTTTTGAGATTGGCAGAAGGGGAGGGAACAGTAGCAGTTGATAAGGAACCTTTTGGAACTGCTACTCGAGTTGAGATTTTGCTTGAACTACCAGAAGCGAATTCAGAAGAAACTTTTTTATACATCCCATTGCGCCCCTGAGAAATAACCTCTTTCCTGGACATTCTGTCCCTAGAAGAAGAATTAGCATAACCTATTTTTTTCTTGGCTTGATTCAGCCTTGTATGGATGCAATTTTTGGAAGTGGAATGACTATTTCGTCCTTTCACGTTAGCTTCTTGCCATCCATCATCTGGGCTAGTTTCCAGAACAGGTACTTCAATAATGCTGTCTGTTTTTATCCTCCCTAGATTCCGCCTCTTACTGATGTTATTTTTGGCAGAGGAATGACCAAAGCGACCTTTTGCATTTGCTTCTTGCCACTCCTGATCTGAACTAGTTTCCAGAGCAGGTATTTCGACAACCTGTTTATCATTGATTGATCTAGAAGGAGCCTTGTCTTCTTGAGAAGAACAAATGTAATCCTTCTCATATTCAACAACGTTTACAGATACACTGATTCCGGCACTGTCTTCCCTCATAGTGTTGTCACCTGTTCCATCATAGGATCCTTTCTGAGAATTTTCAGGGACTGGATACACCTAATAGAACCCAAAAAAGTTTTTCAAAATGGACACCGTGATGGAAAAATTAGAACAATGATAACAGAGACATCATTCAACTCAAAAATCGACATGCAAGCACACAAAAAATGTCATACCTTTGAACGCGGTTTACGGTGCAAATCAAAAGCCTTTAGATCTTTATCCGGATTTATGTAATCCAGAAGGTCTGATACACTGCAAACAATGAAGATTGTGTCACAATAAAAATACTATACAAAAAAAGGTACAACTACAAAAACAGATGCAGAAAATTCAAAATCTTAACAAGTAATCCATGTATATGACCACCTTAGGTGTCCTTTGCTAGCAATGGAAGCATCTGGTTTGGGTGTTCCACAGCGTGCTGCCTCTTGCTGCTCTAGCGCTTTTGATTCAAAGTATTCAAGCCAAGCAGCAGCATCCTACAAATAAAAACCTCATGTCAATTAAGCAACTAACCACTTGGCGAAAAAAAACATTACAGAGGACAAATTGTATCAATTGAAAATACAATCTAATGATTTCATGTTTGCTGCCAATGGAGCTAAAGAGTGATAATTCATAGTGTTTTAGCTTCATGTAAATATTGGACTAAATACAAAAGGCACATTAACCTTCCTTTGCTTCCTACATTCAATGAAAGTTTGGGTAGCAAATGCAGCAATGCATCATGGGTCTAACAAAAACAGTTTCTTTGTATCTGCGTACATCTTAACCGCAGACCTCAACGATGTTAACAGAGTTGAAGTTGTATTGGGTTGTTGGCAATCTCATGTTTTCAACAAGCCAACACAAATAAATAAAAACAAAATTCTGCCTGTAAAAATTAAATACACACCTGAGTTCGGAGATCTTCAGGTCCAAGCTTAGCTTTAAGAATTTGAAGTGTAGTTTGCTCATGTTGCACACTCAAAGAATACGCTTCCATAAGTGAAAGAGCGATGGCTATGGCATGATAACTAGCAGCAGTCTGAGAGAAACACGGAATTAACAAAAGTTTCTCCTGAGAGTAAAAGAACATGCATGTGATGAAAATAAAGTCAGAAAGTAACCTGAATATGATCCGGTCCAAGTAATCTCTTGTTGCACTTAAGTGCTTCGTGCAAATATCTGAGTGCAATTTGTGCATTTCCCATGCCCTCTTCCATCATGGCCACATTTATGTAGGTAGCAGCTGTGTTTGGATGTGATAGACCACACGTAAAATGAAGCAGAAACAGAGCTCGGTTGACATATCTGAAAATATACAATGAACATTCTATGTTATGGCACTAAGCACAACAATGACTTCAACAAGCAAGAATATCTGGACAAAGAGCAAAACAAAATAAGTTGTCTACTGACTTCAGGGCAAGTTCAATATGTTGAAGGCGATAGTAGAAAACCGAGAGATCACCATAGCTTTTCATCGTGTCTGGGTGATCAAGCCCTAACTCCCTCTCATTAATATCCAACGCCTTCTGCTGATATACAGTTGCCTAAAAGAATGGCAAAGTTTGAATGTTAATGCCTAAAACATTTGTATGCACATCAGAGCAGAGATATGCCATGGCAGTAACTTCTCAGGCAAGTAAAGCTCAATGGCATGAGAAGTAATTAACAAGATGAAGCAGTCAATCAATTGATATGCAGCCACCTGATTGAAGTCTCCAGTGTGATATAGGACAACTGCCAGTAAGCTATATGCACTTGCTATTGTGCGATGATATGGACCGCATACAGCAATCATTTTTGTTAAGGCCTAAAGTTCAAAATCACAAATAATGTCAATTTCTCTTTATAGTCAAATACAATAAAAATTCATGAAATTGAGTTTATCTACATACCTTGGTCCCAAATTTTAGTGCATCTTCCAGCTTCCCCTTGTCAAGGGCAATTTTAGAAGACTCGAGTAAAGTACGACCATCAGCAGAAGAGCATACAACATGCTGCATCATAGTACATTTAGATGGGTATTAGGCTTTAATGTCAATAATCCAAAAAAAAACCATGATTGCTGCAAGTGAAATATGTAAATCTTACTTTACACAAAGGCACTAAACTGATGACATCAGCTTCACAAAAAGGGTTTGGGCTTTCCAAGTCATAATCTCTTGGAATCAACTCAATCCCAACCTAAAAATGAAAAAAAATATATCAATAGCTGTTCCACAATAAAAAATGAAAAAGACACCAGAATTCTATTACCTTGTGACAGAGTCCACGAAGAATTGACAATTTTCTTAGGTGCTTGAATTCATCTCCCAAATTCCAACTAAACCTTTTCAATAGAAATTCACGTAACCACTGGAACTTGAGAATTTGATCATTGTTCATTTTCTCAAAATTATCCTCAGGTGTATCGGAACCAAGTAAAACATTCAGAGAGGACGCAATTGCAGATCGTAAGTATGCTGTGTCACTAGTGGAAGCAATAACAGCCCTAATAATGTACTTAAAAGCACGAGTGACCATCTCATGAACACAAAGTGACTGTATGTGTGGAAGCTTTTGAGCAAGCTCAACCTGGTTCATGTGATAAAAACATAGTTAAGTATTCAGGAATTCTGCATTGCCATTTAAGTTGAACAAAAGAAAAATGATAGCTCACCACTCTTCCCAAAGAAGACATTTGTAATCCTCTTAGGTGCATGAAATCTGTTAGTGTTCGACCATCAACAGGTGAGAGCTCCAAAGAGGCAAAGTCTGCCACCTATATATTTAAAAAAAAATTAGAATGCCTTGTAAAAATTGTTATACAACAACAACATTACCCGAGTGCCTCAACGGCTCCCGCCCATTGCGGCGGTAAGGGGGGGTCGAATGTACGCAAACTCACCACTATGTTTAAAACATAGAGCGGCTGTTTCCAAATGACCCATGACGAGCGTCAAAAGTTGCATTGACTGCTACTTTACAATTGCAGGGGCAGACAATTTAAAGAGCCAATTTGCTTTATTCCATCATAATTACTTACCAACTTAGGGAGAGCAATTTCATTGTAATATTCCTCTGCCATCTTGACAATATCATCTAGTGGCTGTTCAAAAAGGAACAAAAAGTTAATTAGATGAAGTCAAGGCCATTTCAGTATTGATCTGACCTCATAATGGTTGTAAATGATCAATAGAAGTGCTTTACAACAACAACCCAGTTGTATCCTACAAAAGTAGGGTCTGGGGAGGGTGTGTGTCCACAGACCTTACCCCTACCCAAAAGTAGAGAGGTTGTTTCCAAAGAGACCCCCCGGCTCAAGCACCACAGGTAATCATGTCCGCAGCCTGACAGAAGTGCTTTAAGAATGAGCAAAAATTTATTTAAAAGGAAACCTTTAAATGAAGACTCGTTCCGCTCTCTTTGAGACGGAGATATGCTTCTTCGGAAATATATTTCAATAAATCGGCCTTTGAGCTGGAATCAGCATTGGTTTGCTCTGCTAAGATACATTCCACATTCAGAGTACCAGTTGGATCACTACTGGCTTCATTTACCTCTAACACACCACAATTCGAATATTTGCTTTCCCTCTTTCTTAACATTTTAAACTGCTTCCCTAATCCTTTGATAACTGGCTCATCCTTGCAATCTTTCCCTACATTCTTGGGATTCTTTTCCTTTGTAGTCTCCTGCTTTTGTAAATGCTGCATCCAGCAAGATCCAAGCTCCCATCTGAATGATCGTGTCAAAGTACCAGGTTTGGCTTGCAACTTTATCAAACTATCTTTGATAATCTCATGAATGAGGAATCTAGAAGACTCGTCACCAGATTTATCATCACAAGATTGACTTCTAACAGAGCATTCAAGGGCTCTCGGATTAGAAAGGGGATAACGTAGGCTGCAAAGTTTTAGTTCATATGAGTAAAAGAACAGCAACAATATTTATGCACCAAATAAATTATCAACATATTAAATACATACCACTTAGGCATTTCTAGAATATAATGACACGTTCTAAAAAGTGAACAAAAAAATCTTCTCTCTTGAAGAAAAAACAGGAAACCTTATTATAAGGTTGAGAAAAATAAGTAAAACTTCTTACTTAGTTGTTCAAATGCACAGAAATTATTCAAACCTGTTTATGTTGAGTGCATTTGCTCCCCCGTCTGGTTGGTCATCAATTGCAATATCTTTTAACAGGCTCCCTACCTCGCCAGCAGAATCACCCACAACTTTCACAGTTGCAGTGCAACCACAGTGCCTTACAGTAACCACACCCAGTAATAACGTGTCCTGTGAAAAACATCACAATCGTCAATCTAGATAAATGCAGGAATAAAGACCAAGATATCCCAAAAAGGGCAAGTAAGTTTTCCAGTTGAGACTTAAAGCTACTCACATGTGCAACAACACTTTCATCTGCAGTTACTCCTTTGAGTAAATTTCTTTGAGAAAATTCTTCAGCAGATTCATTGAAGCTTTTAATGCCAATAATTTTTACTCCTTTACAACTAGCATCTGTAGCATCTTTTTTCACAGTGATACTCAAATCCCCAACACGATTCTCAAATAAGACTGAGTCCAAATCTGAATTCAGAGAATTTGAAGTAGCTACCGCATTGGAATCAATGACATTCCTTATTGCTGAAACTGCTTTCACAATTGCGACTTCAACAAAAAGATTATGGAGCAAAAAAACCTTACGGTCCCGAACAACTCTATCTTCTTCTGTTTTACAAGGAAGATTGGCAAGAAAGTGAAATTCTGACGCCCAAGGTCTAAAATCATGTTCTCCATTCCTCCCCTGGCCTCCACCATTACCGCCCCAGCTCTCATCTTCAATGGGAAGTGGAATGATGTTTGTTCCAGAATCTACAAGGCTTGGGGGAATAAGCCATGTATTCGCACGGAAACCATATGGGAGATTACCAAACTGAAAAGATATCAAAAAAGGTGCTCATTTGGTCTCATTGCAAAATTAACAAAAAGAAAAATGAATATGAAATTACAAATCACCTTATTATGATCCACAAAGGCATTCATTAATGATTCATATGCCTGCACAAAACATTAGAACTATCATGCTTCTATCCTGAATAGTTTTCAAATGGATGAAGAAATAATGGATGCAACAAATCTAATGGAGTAGTAATCCCAAACAGAATAACCTAAATTTCATTAAATAAAAAAAATATACAAACATATTCACAGATTGGTATACTGAAGAAGAAAATAGACAGGTTCAGAAATTCAAAGTACAGAGAATTAACTATAACATAAACGCATAATGTATTTACTTTGGCAAAAGCTTGGCTGAGCTGTTGAAGAAGATCAACCAAACAATGTGCCCGCATATAGGGCTTTGCGGGAGGATAAAAACCAGTTTTTGAAGCAACCACTTGCAGAAACTTCCCGTTGCATATTTTGATCTGCACGTATAAATTATCCAAACAAACAATAAGCAAGTAGAATTCAAAATGCAAGTAAAACACGTTTAGTCATTAATGGAGAAGCTCTTTATCTAAGAAAAGCTGTGTTTATTGAGTTGAACCTGCATTTGGAAATAATCTCCATCTCGATCCGCCAGGCCATCCTTTGCTTCTACTCTCTTCAAGCTGATTATTGGCGGATGCACATGAGACAGAGACAAGAACTCGTAGAAATCGGAAAGCTTCGGGATCGGGTGAATTGCAAGCATGTCCGACTCGTCGGAAGAAGGGGAACCCGACGGCCGGACGGCTCCATCTGGAGGCGAATTCGGCCGGCTGGTGTCTGAAGCCTGCTGCGGCTTCTGCCTCCGGGCGCGAGCGTCATTTGCGGAAGGCGACGAAGGTTTCCCGCCTTTGGACTTGGTGAAGCGCGTGGTGCACGCGACAATGTCGAGTAGCCGGCGGACATGAGCCTGCGCTTGGGCCTCCTCCGTATAATCCTCTGAAATATCGCCCGTGTTGGTGGTCCAATTAATTAATTAAAAGCCGTTCCAACCGAATGGGCCACAGGGGGCCATAAATGCAATTTTCATGAGCGTTTTAAAAGTTGAAGCATCGTGAAATCATGTGCATGTTAAATGAATGAATAATATAGATCGAGTAATTCGAAAAACAATCCACAATTTCACTTTTGACAAATTTAATGAGGATATTTTATTGTTGACTTTTCAATTTTATTGCTTTGAAATGAAAATTTAAATAAGAAGCGATCGATAAATTATTGTTAATAGATACAATTCAATAGATAAATTAATAATAAGTGGAAGTAAAATAGATATATTAATTGAAAGTGAAGAATTTTTCAGAAAAAATAAAAAGTGAAAGAAAGAGAAAGTAATTTTTCTTCTTGGTTTGTTTTCAAAAAAATTTTATGTAATTTTTTAATATAAATTTATTTGTTTCAATTCTATACTAATTTTTACTTTATATTGATTTGATAATGAAAATTGTAAACGGAAAAAACTTTACTTCGGAATGGAAAGAGTATGTAATTGTGATTTTAAAGAAGAGAAATGATTAGGACTACGTGACTTTTTCCTTGAAAAGAAAATTGAACAAAATTTAGAGACAATCCAATTTTAAAAAGTAAGAAAATTATGGAATAATAATAATAATAATAATAATAATGTTGATGATAATAATAATAATGATAATGACACTTGTGACTTGTCCCTCGTGTTTTTGGGTTGTTGAGATGAGAGGACTCCGACCCTTCTAATTAACTTGTTGGAGTACTTCTGTTTTTGTAATGTCCGAATCTATTATGTACGGAGTACATGTCCTCGTTGATAAACAAATGACGAAAAATTGTCAAATTGCCCTAGCTTTCTTGCAAATAATTCGAATCAATTTTTTAATTAATTTACCACAATTAATAGATCATACATTTTTTTTGAAACAATCATACATTTATTTTCTTTAAAAAAATTCAATTGAAAAGTATTTAAGAGTTATTTCATAAATAGTCAGATCACTAAGTACAAGTACTTTTCTAAATTTAATCCCCAACCTTATGTATTACAAAAATGGTTTTCAAATTTTGAAAAGTATTCAACAAATAGTCCTTTAGGCTAAAATATAACAAAATATTTTTTCACATATAATCTCCGAAAGACCAATTATGAATTAATTTTCAAAAATTGAAACTAAGGGCCAAATATGAAAAAAAAACACATGTAATTCAAGACTATTTATGAAATTTTACTCTAATTTTAAATAATGCAAAATTTATTTTAAAATCTACCCCAAAATAAACGTACTGTTTTTCAATAGAGAAAGTGTGACACACTTACTCTACAAAGGGATTCCAAAATGTTTCACCTGTTTTAATTAACTCCCATCTTTTTCTACTAAAGTTGAAATAATTGCCCCATAATGGAAAAAGAAAAAAAATGTGGTAGAAAAGAAGGGAGCGTATACATCCGAGTAAAAAAAACACAAAAGTAGGGCCCGGGCAGCCCGAAATCATCATCATGTGAGATTTGAAAGAATTTGTAGGCAAGTGAAAAAGATAAAATGGTGGCGCACATGACCGGGGGTAGCCCGGGCCGTCGATTCATGTTTCAGCGATAAAAAACAACACACGACGATGGGGAGTGGGGACACACTTTGGAGGAGGCCTCACCGTTATTGTCGGCTTATTGGAATTTAGCACCGCAAGTTGTTTACATTCTCCTCCAACCATTTTCAAGATTTCTCGCCCATTTATGTCTATGAAATTTTGAGTGGGTATTGTTAAAATATCTCACCGTTAATAACATTAACTCATTAACATAACTGTCCTATCTAGTTTTAACTTTTTTATCGTTAATCATTTTCAAACTTTAGTGTTGAATTAAATAGAATTTGTATGGTTTAATATTTTGAAAATACTGTATAAAATAATCTAATAAAATTATTTCTATATGAATATCTAATACCAATATTGTTTAATTAGTGGTCAAAATTTCTAAATTTTTATTGAAAAAATCAAAACTTGAAAATACTCAGGGCGGAGGCAATCGGAGTTAAAGTGGGTTCTCAAAAAATTGTGTTAAAATTAAATTACTAAGGAGAGATACGCTAACCCAACATAGTACTAAATTTATACACTAATAAATGCATTTCATTATTTTCATTAAATGATAGTTTTTTTTACACTTGAATATTTAATCATTGCCCTGAGGAATGGGTTTAGCAATAGCCTTATAACATAGCAAAAACCATATATTTTTTGTATAATTTTATATAGCACAAATTTCTAAAATGATACTCAATTACTATGTATTTTTCCAAATAAGTCTCTAAAATGAACTAATTACCGAAATCATACTTGCTAATTACAAATAATGCTTAGTTGAGAACCCCCGACTAACAGTCGTGAAAAACAGCGTCAAAACAACATAAAAACTTATACTCATTTTACAAATTAATCATATTTAATTAGATGTTTTTTCAAATAGTTTATTTTATGTAAAAACTCATTTAATATGAAAAATCGAAGCAGGATTCTTTTAATTGACTCACGGTGTTTGTAAGAAGCCGGAAGAGCATTTTTATGAGACTTTATTTCAAAAATTGACTAATTTTGAAAGAAATTATTAGAAATGATCATTTTGAAAAATACGTACAAGTTTTAATATAGTTTTGACTCCATTTTGATGGGGCGGTTAGTTTGGAGACTAAACTGAACATTATTTTTAATTAACGAGTACCATCTCGATAATTAGTTCATCTTAACAACCAATTTGGAAAAAACATAATTATTAGGTACCATTATGAGACTATTCTTTTATATATACTTTTAAAAGATGACCCTTCTTTGAAGAATATTTATGTTCACATTTTAAAAAACCATTTCAAAGTGATAAGTCATCCTTCTAAATAACTAGATTTCCGTTTCATTTTAAATTTTTTGTTCATTATTTACAGGGGTCAATCATTAACCACTTTCATTACTCATTTTTGGTACTAATATAATACTCGGTAAAATAATATAACCATGTCACTTTTTTATAGTAAAACTTTGTATTTTAAATGTATAAATTTTATTTTTAATTTCCACACCAAATTTTATTTAAAATAAATTAAAAACAATTTCAGTTAAACATTATAAACTGAAAGAGATAACTTAAATTAAAACAGAGGGACAAACTAACTTTTCCTAGTTAATGTGAAAGAGAATTACGGAGTATTTTGCACTCTCGCACTTCACTCACGTTTTATTAGTCTTTTTATTCGTTTGTTTGGCAGGCACGAATGAATTACTTGTATTCATCTCTAACAACTACGTACGGGGAATTTTGGTTATGCGGTGACCGGAGTTGCCGACTGTCCGGCTATTCCTCCCTTCCGGTCCCCTCCATCCTAGTGGTGCTTCAATTCAACTTAGTGAAAGACTCGTGTGAAAAATTTATTTGTTATTTTAACTATTAACGCTAACTAAAACATTAACGCTAATTTTTAAAAATGACAATTTTTAGACACTAATAAAAAAAAAGGATCCGACACTTATAGCAATGCATGTGCAAGCGTGGAAGAAGTAAGTGAAACTATTGCAAACGTGCACAAAATAGCTTAGTAGTCGTGTTGTTGTAAATCGGCATCTACATTCTCCTTTCCAATAATGTTCCAGAATCTTTTCTTTTAATATGCTTGAATAAACAACTTGAACCTAATGGACTTGGGAGTGTGGAGTTCTTTTTATTTATTTATTTATTTGTAAAGCGAGTACTACGGATACACCACACGACGGCAGGAGAAAAGGTATAGTGGAGTATAATTAATAATATTGGTCAAGAGTGGGCTAATTGAGAAACCAATGCCCTTTTTTCATATATTAATATAATTTCAAGATGATGTAAATTGAAATATATATATATATATATAATATATTGGGGTTTTAATTAATTGATTAGAGAAAACAATACACCTACCTTCAACCATTCTCAGCAAACATGGCTTCAGAGCAACCACTTCTAACCTCTCACTCAGCTTTGCTCCTCTCACCTGCCCCCCCACCCCACAGCATTTCATGTTTAATTATAAATATATACGTATATATTTATAAATAAATGATTTCAACAACTGATTATTAATAATGGGAAGATTAAGTAAACTAATTAAAATAATTAATTAGGTGTGTATGTATATGTGCAAACCTCATGGGACAAACTATAGCTGGTGAAATGACAAGTTTGGACATTGGAAGCTAACAGCCTCTTCACATCCACTATCCTGTCCGTCGATATTCCCTTCCATTCATCCATTATCCAATCAATTCATATCATCATCATCATCAGATCATCAGTGCGTCAATTAATTTAATTGTCAGTAATAATAAAGCAATGATGACTACTGAATTAATTAGGAAATTCAATTCTCGGTAAAAAAAAATGATGTAACTAAGGAATCAGTGTGAATAAATAAATAAAATTTTTAAAAAAACTTGTGGAGATCAGAAACCATAATTGGAGTACCTTAAGAACAACATGGGTGTCATAGGGAGTAATGACGGTGATGTCAACAACACTAGGAACCACTGCACATTCACAATCAAATTGTTTTTTTATTAGAAAAAAAAGGCATATTTATGAATAAAGTCCATGGCCTTTTTTAGAAATTAAAAAAAAAAATCAAGATGAAAAAGAGGCGTGGCAGAAAAGGGAAAATCCAAAGTCCACTGAGAATCAAAGATACACAATCAAATTAGAAGAAAGAAAGAAAGACTCGACGCACCTTTCTCTTCCTTCTTCTTCTTATCAGCCTTGGCTTTGCCTCCCTGCTTTCCCCTGCCAGACTTGGGGGCCATCAATTATCTATCAATTAACTTTAATTTTCTGGATTCAATTCCCAAATGGAAGAGAGAGAGATGTGTGTGTAAACTGAAAGGAGATGTGCAGAAAATGAGGATTGGGGGGGGGGGGGGTTGNTGGGTATTGGTATTATATATAGAAGAAAGATGGATAGATAGGCATGTGAAGAGAGGGAAATCTGGGGAGGGGATTTTAATGGGAGGAGGGGAGAAGGAGAAGAAAAAGATAGGATAAGGAAGGGACAAAGTTTGGGGATTGCATTGGGAGATCGAGAGGGGATTAGGCTTTTGGTGTTTCACACACACTCACACACTATACCTCTCTCTCTCTCTCTCATCGTCCGTTTTTATTATTGAGTCACAACAAATATTGGCCTCTCCTTTTTGGTCTTTGCCATCTCCTCCTTTCAGCAAATGGGAGACTGTGATTTTGACCCCACCTCACCCAACACAACACAACACAACATCGCTCTCTCTCTCTCTCTCCCTCCCTCTCTCACAAGAAGAAAGACTGTTTGGTGGATTCCTAGGAAATGAGTTGTTACACTAGAATTTAGTTCCCTCTTTTGAATCCCATGTCTACTTTCTCTTTCTCTTTTTGTGTCATTTAATTTGTTAGTCAATTGTAAATGTTAGCGAAGCACACAATATGGCAAAAAAAAATCGAATTAAGATTATAGCATATACATGAATATATACATTAATATGTTGATGATTCATACAAACATAAAATGCTAGTTTGATTAAAAAAAATTTGTACTAACATTTTATGTCTGTGTAAGCCATCATTTAAGCATCACACTAACACAAAATGAAAGTGCACACATGTCGTGTACAATTTGAGGTACAAATTTTCAGGTACAAATAATCTAATCCTCATAGCATATCGAATCGTTTGCCATGTATTTAAACAAGATATGTTTTCTATTCCAAACAAGATATCAAACGAGATTAGATTGCGATATTGTAACTCATAAAAACTGATTATTGCCAACAAAATCATTCGAAATTAACTATATTTGCGTGTGTGTTTGTGTGTGTGTATGTATATATATGTATACATATGTATGTATGTATGTATGTATCAAATATTTATTTGTGTAGTATATCTTATATACTAACATATTATGTTAGTTATAAACATAGCATTTCTTTGGAGAGTGTCTTTCATGGACCTAAAGGTTTGCATTACTTTTTGTTAACTTTCTCATACCAAACATATTTTTTTTATTTTTGACTATTTTTCAGAAATATAATGATCATCAATATAGTGAACATTTGCTTATCACCCTCACATATGGACCATAGGTCTACACAAAATTGTGTGTACAAAACGTAATCAAGAATTTAATTGATCCACATTTTAATTTTCAGCAGTAAGATTTTGTCTTGCTGAACTAGAAATTTTGTGAAAGTTATTACATAATCATGATATGCAATATATATATATATATATATATATATTGATATTATATTTTATTATTCCAAAGTAAAACAAACAAAACTCTAAATATTATTCCAATAATAACCGCTCTCCTCTCCTTTACATGCTCTCCTCTCCTTCACTCTCACGCACGGCGCCCCTCTTCCCCAATAAAGCCTGGAAATTTATTAGTTCTCTTCCATTATCTTTAAAATTTGACTCTCCTTATTATTTTTCTATTCGATTATATATATATATATATATATGTATATATATATATATATGTATATATATATATATATGTATGTATGTATGTATGTATACATGTATATGTATATGCATATATATAATGTGTGGGTGTGTTTGTGTGTGTGTCTAAATATACATGTGTGTGTGTGTGTGTGAGTGTGCGTGTGTGTATGTATATGTATATGCATATATATAATGTGTGTGTATGTGTGTGTGTGTGTGTGTATATATATATATATATATATCCAAATCCAAACCGAGAATAAAGTAATCTGAACCCGACCCAAAATTTTTTATCCGAACCCAACATCGGGTGTGGGTTTATAATTTTACCCGATTTGAACCAAACCCGCACCCGACCCACTCAAACCTGAATATTTTATAACATAAAAGCCTATCTATGGATATAATGAGCTTTTTGTATACTCTCTGAATAAGGTATTTCTATATCAAGTATGCCTTTTAGAATTATTCTATAATTCCCTAATAAAAAATGAGACACAAAATATAAAAAATTAGATTTAATCTTTTTAAAATTATTGGGATACGTCGAATAGATTATTGGTAAAACTACGGATTCAGGTTCGGGTTTCTAGTTTAAATGTCGGATTCGGGTCAGGTCAGGTTTTTGGGTTAAAAAGCAGGTTTCGGGTCGAGTTCGAGTTTCGGTTTTTAAAGTCGGGTCAGGTTCGGGTATAGTACTATCCGACCCAAACCCGACCCATTGCTATCATTACGCTCCGCGCCCCTCTTTCCTAATATAGCAAGGGAATTCATTAGTTTCCTTCAAAATCCATTGTCTTCTAAATTAGACTCTCCCTTCTTGTTGTATTGTTATTGGATCAAAAGACGGAAAGGAAGGAGCTGAAGAAGTAAATAATTGTGGCTAGAGTGGTCGATTGTTTCAATCGCTTCTACTTTAACTTCTTTCAATCAATTTATTTAGTGCTAAAAAAAGTATCATTATTTTATTAACATTGCATGTTAGATATATATATATATATATATATATATATATATAATGCATTAAAATTTATGTAGTGCTCCATATATAAGAGCATTTGTAAAGCTTAACATTTCAAAAGACGATTATCAATAAATGATTAACAATGAATTATGATTCGGACCACAGTGTACTATGGAGTATTTATATAATTGTGATTTTATAAAAACAAAAAATGAGGACATAAAACCAAAATTTATTCATTAAGTAATTTTTTACTACCCCAATTTTTAAATATTTGGTAAAATTTTCTTCCGTGCATTGCACGGGTACGATACTAGTATATATATATACATACATACATACATATATATATATATATATATATATATATATATATATAGAATTTGGTTCTGGTGAGAATGCAATCTTAGGAGAGAAATGAGAATGAATCTGGTGCTTTAGATTGTGAGATCTAAGGGTTAAGATTTCATCAATATTAGATGCACCAAAATGGTGCGAAAATGCATCACGTCGAAATGCACCATAAACCTTCGAAAATGCACTATCTCAAAACCTGGGTGCAGGATGCAATTTGAGCCGCACGATGCATCAAATCCGACGGCTAGATTTTATTCTCATTTCTCTCCACAAGGTGCATTCTCACGGGAACCGGCCCCTATATATATATATGTGTGTGTGTGTGTGTGTGTGTGTGTGTGTGTGTGTGTGGAAGGGAAGCAACACACTGCTCAAAGGAAGGGAAAATCGAGATCAGTTACAAACAAATTAAAGTTAGCATGGATGACCATCCTTACGTGGAGGATGATTGGATGCTAGTATCTTGGGAAAAAAAGGTGAATAAACAAAAAAGCTAAAAGAAATACGGACAACCTATCTGACATCCCACTCTCGGGAAGTGGGAAGAGAAAGAACAAGGACAAATAAAAACAAGAGTAAATTTTTTTTATATTGTTTTTATATTTTATTATTCTAAAGTGATTTAAACACAGTACTAGATATTATTCCAATAATAACGATAGAAAACTCCATGATTCTCTCTTTATTACAGGATCTCCTCTTCTTCGCTCTCACGCTCCACTCCCCTCTTCCATAATAAAGCCTCGGAATTCATTAATTTCATTCACGATACATTATCTCCTAAATTAGACTCTTCCTTCTCCTTGTTATGCATATAGATGAACTCACTACCTCATAATTTCCTACAATATCATGCATACAAGTACAACATCAATAATATCAATAGTACTCCCTCCGCCCCCCTAAGATCTTCTCGTTTTGACTTTTTGTGGTTTTTAAGGAGAGTTAAAAAAAAGTGAAAGTTTACCAAAATACCTTTAATGAAAGTGGGTGGGGTGTATTAAATAAGGTGGAAAAGGTGTAATAGATAAAGTAAGTGGGGGTAGTTGTGGTATTTTAAATGTTAAAAAATGTAATAAGAAGATCTATGTGGGACAAATAAAAAGGGCTAATGGGAAGATCTATGGGAGACGGAGGGAGTATCAAACAATTCATAAATCAAACCTACTTAACCAGATTACCAAATTTACCTCATTCTTAACTTAGGCATTTACGCCACATAATCTTTATACAAGTCCATCATCAATCCTCAATTCTAAGATCATAACCTATCCTAAGCTAACGCCAATTCTTAACTGTATATAAGTAATTCCTAACTGGAATTCTTTCCTATCCTAGGCATTTACTGTAACGCCCAAAAACATACCCTAGAATTTATTGAATTAAATATTCAACTAAAAAAATTTGTTTTGATTAAAATAAATTATTATTGAGCTTTGGGCTGATATGAAATATGTTTTGATATCCAATATCACAATCAGGATAAATCTAATAGAGATAAATCCAATATGTTCACTATTTGTGTGGTCTTGATTGGAAACCTGAGTACAGACCAAAATTAATAAATAAATTGTTTATGATGTAATTTTTGAAATGATTCATTGAAATGAATCATGAGAATAAGTAATGTGAGAACCTTTTTGAATAGATGTCAATTAAATTAATTTTGACTCTGTCAAATTCAAACACCCAAAAATATGATGTCGGAAACAGTATTACAAATAAATATAAAAATTATGTCGTTGGATAGAGTTTAACTGTCTGATCGAAACGGTAGAAACAAAATTCAATTCGGAGAAAGTTGGACCAAAAAGTGTACCCCGACTGGGACTAAATTAGTCCCAATCAGGGAGACTGTGCAGACGGCGCCTTCCAGCGCACTAGCCGATTGTGAATCTTTTTACGACGGTCAGCAACCTGTCTTCTTCTTCCTTTCCTTACTGAAGAATTGTTTTTTCATTGAGAATATTGTGGGAGTACATGAGTTTATATATACAAAACATTCTTAATCCTATACATGGTAGGATTGTATAATAGGAAATAATATATATACAATAAATATAGAATATATTTAACATGCTCCCGGCTACGTTGGCGTCTGTGGTGGGCGGATCTCAAGGCTCGTGCGAAAGTCCGTGAATAGCAAGGACGGGAGGCCTTTTGTGAATATGTCGGCATGCTGCGATGAAGACGGCACATGAAGGACTCGAATCTAGCCAAGAGCCACCTTGTCACGAACAAAGTGAATGTCTAAATCAACATGCTTGATGCGCTGATGCTAGACCGGGTTGGTGGAGAGATATACAAGGTAAGCCCGTAGATATATCAAGTGACTAGAATGTTGATAGAGAACATTTCTACGTTTTTAAATGGTCGTTTGTTTGAGTTTTGTATCTGACATCTTTAAAAAATCAAGAATCAAAAACCTTGAAATTGTTGTTAAAACTATAAACTAACGATACCCAAATGATCTATGAACATTGGAGAATATTTTTATATAGTTTAATTGAAGTTTGGTGACTAAAATGGACTCGAGGAAGAAGACAATGAACAGTGCACGGTAACACACTACCGCCGGTACGGTAGCTAGGTGTTGGAACACACTTTACATTGCGTTGAACTAAAGTCGTGTTTGTTTCTGACATGTTTTGATAATTGCCAAACCACTGTGGATATGAAGAGTTTCGTTGAATAACTCAAGGCATGAAGTAAGGCATGGAACAAGACCAAGAGACTCAAGGACAAGATCAAGATTTGAAGACTTAGTTGAGTCGGTTTCATTGTTATAAAAAACCGATGGTTGAATCAAGTCTCAGTTCTCAAAGAGTCAAAATATTTTTATAAAATCATGAAACGATTTTATGCATCAAATAAACTTTTTTAAAAAGTTTTTCAAATCTGTAAAAATCCCTAGTCTTTGCCCAAACCGGCATTCGGTATTCGGCGTTCGGTTTTCAGTGTCCGAACCAACCAAGTGGTTTTCAATATTTTATACTTGGTTTTTTACCTCTGGGCATACTTAAAAGGTTCCCAAACAATCGTTTTATAAAAATCACTTGTATATGATGGTCAATTGGTCTAAACACGTGAAAAACAGTCAAAACCGTCAACACGTGACTTGCGACCTCGAAGATTTGGTTTTTAATAAACAAGTCTTGGTTTATCTATTATATACCATATACAATGTTTTTCAACCTAGGTTTTTACTTTTGGGAACTCTTCGTTTTAGGACCTCAGTTTTTCAAGTTGGGTTTTCGCCGGATGAGTCATAGCTGGGTGATAATCGAGTATCACTTTTCAACATTCGATTATCAGCCCGAACAGTTTTAGAACTCTTAGTTTAGAACCATCCGGTAATCGATTATCACATATTGACAATCGATTATCATGGTTTGCTGCTAAAACTCAAATTCTTCATAGAGGTTTGATACTCGATTATTAGAATTTGATAATCGACTATCACTGTGACCATTGCCCTCCAACTGATAGAATTTTAAATTTTCGGACACGGAATCTTTTGATAATCGATTATCATGTAAACACAATCGACTTTCATTCTGTGATTCTGAAAATTTTGTCCTAATCCTGTTGGGAGTTCTTGCACAACTGCACCATTTTTAGCCAATAATTAGCACCCAAAACCTCTCATTTTACATACAATTCTTCAATAATCAATACTCTTTGATTGCATTATCAACTTTCATATTTCTTAGCTTTTTGAGAGCCAATTCTTGAAGATATTGTCGTGTTCTTGAGCGTTTACTAGTTCACTCATTTATACTCTTTGTGAGAGTTTTATTCTTGAGTGTTTAAGTGTTTTAAACACTTGAAGGGAGGTTTGTTCCCACAAATTTTTCATTGGTTCATAATTGGATATGTTTCTTTTTACAAGGCTCACAAGAACTTTTCCTTCTTAAAAATGGGAAAAGTCAACTTGAAAAGCCCATTTTCGGACAAAGGAAGTATTATAAAGGATTGTTAATAGAATTTTACTCAAATAAATATTATAAAGACTAAATAAATATAAATTTGCATGTAGAAAGATTTTAGACCTTGATTGCTGAGTGACTTGTTGTACAGCCGGCTACACATGGACTATGGTACAGCCGTAAACTTGTTGTACAGTCGGCTGCACATGAACTATGGTACATCGGGGTAGTACTCATTTTGGAGTAAAGAAGTACTAATTTATGCACAAAGCACAAGTATTCATTTTAGAGTAAAAGAGTATTCATTTGGCGATAAAGTGGTGTTTATTTTGAATCAACGTAATACACATTAGGAAACAACATTGTGTTCATTTTCACACATTTGTTCATTACAATTATAATACTCGTTTACGAATAACGTAGTGTTTAGTCTCAAATAACATAGCGTTTATTCTGAAGCAATGTAGTACTCATTCTAAAGCAACTTACTAATACATAAATTGGAAGTTCTTCTTGACATACTAGCAAACATCTCTATTTTCTTCTTCGACCAAACGTCACTACCGCCTACTTCTCATATCCTCAATCTTCGATTGATTTCAACACCACCGGTGAGTACGATAATGAGGAGGGTCTTCTACAGAAGAACCGTTGGCTAGGGTCGCTGAGCCACCATCATCGCGCCACCACCTTCAACTATCATTAATCACTGCCCGTCATCCAATTTCCGGCCTCTCCTCCAATCTAATTACCGGCTGTACTGTATAATTTGGGTCGATTGGTGAGTTTTGGAAGAAGGATATGACATGTATTCTAAATTTTGAAATAAAATTATTTGAAAAAATTTAGAATCATAATTCTAGGGCATGTTTGATGAGGAAAACATATATGGGTTTTGATATCTTAGATATCAAATTCTAAAATAAATATGTTTGGTGAAAATAAAAAAGAATACAGAATTGATATCTCCAGATATGTCGGGAAAACGTGAGAGCAAGTCGCTACTCCAAATAGGCTTGAAGAATGTTAATTTCAAGAAGTTCAAGTAAGCCATACTTTGTACGGCCCGGTTCTGTGGCCACTGGATTCCAATGAGTACAGAAGCCACTGCCCCCCTACAGACACCTATGATGCTCCATTCATAAAATTGATGATTTCTACTCCGCCTATACCGCAGTAAACCCCCCGCCCAGTCTTGACCCTAACTCATCCCCCACCCACGTCAATTGTACCACACAATTTCAATTGACTTTGAAGTCAAAAGTTTAGACTTTAAAGTCAATTATACTTATGGGGTGCAATTGATGTAGGTGGGGGGGTGAGTTGGGGTCGGGACTAGGGGGTAGGAATAATCAATTTTATGAACGGAGTACCGTAGGAGGGCAGTGGCTTTTGTGGCCACTAGAACCCAGTGGCCACGGAACCTAGCCATACTTTGTATGCTATGTTTTGTATCTCTACAATTCATGGATAAGTTTTAATGTTTATTTTCTTTGCAATTTCTTGAGACTAACTGATAAAACTCATCCATAAAGCTTATTGGTTTTGATTTTAGGTTCCACGAGAAGACTAATAATTGAGAGAGGAATGATCATTTTAGTTTTGGGTTTAGAGCTTCAAACTCAGCGAGGAGTTTGAGAAAGAGTACAAGAGGAGGGAGGAAGCTTAATTGAGGAGAAAGATGAGTGTGAATTTACAATTTTATCCACGTTCATAACGGAAATGTTAACAAAGGACCATTCGTGGAAATGAATATAATAATTGGGGACTAAGTTAGTAATATTTGATATGTAGGGACTAAATATGTAAAACGACCTATAACTGGGGACCATTTATGGAATTTACTCTTTACATTTTTACTCGTAAAAGCTTGGCATGCCTCCATGTGGTAAGTGGTTTACTGTTTTCATAGTTTATAGCTTGAAGAGTTGAGATATTCTTTATCTATCCACAATTTCACATTAAAATCAATTGGGATTTTTACTGGTTTACTATAGTTTACTTGAGATTTTTACTGGTTTACTGTGGTTTACTTGGGATGTTCTTTGTGGACCATGGTGATTTGGAAAATATTTATATGGTTTCCAATTGGACTTTTTGCTTTTTGTTTATTTTTGCTTTTTTCCTTAGATGTTTGTTTTTGCTTGAAAAGATGTTACTGTTTTTAGCTTTTTATTTTAATGTCATGCTTGTTGTATTACGAAATGCATTGGTTGCATTGTGTATGTTCTTGGACTAATGGACTCTAAATTATGAAGTCATATGTAGTATATTTTTTTCACTAGAATTGAAATTTGAATTTTTTTTAATCTTGGATTCGGTCTATTCGGTCTGGACTTGTTCTGTCCAATTAATTTCGATCCGGTCAGATATAAAACCAACAACATCTAGGTCCTGTCTTAGGTCTAGATTTTACAGTAGCTTATTTCGGTCCTGTTTTAGACTCATGAACACCCCTACGATCAAATCCTATCTCATTTTTGTATTCGAATTTGTGTACGGAGTTCCAGAGTTGGAAGCTCATCTCATATTTACTTGAGAATGCCGGAGCTTCCAGAGGTCGAGGCGGCACGAAGAGCCGTGGAGGACCACTGCATAGGCTTAAAGATTGTGAAATCGGCGATAGCGGACGACCCCAAGGTCATTGACGGCGTGTCTCCCAAGGACTTCGAGGCTTCGCTGATCGGAAAATGCATCGTCTCCGCTCATCGCAAGGGAAAAAACATGTGGATTCAGCTCGATACTCCCCCATTTCCATCTTTTCAGTTCGGTACGCTTGGTCAATTTTGCATCATTTTCTATAAAGTAATAGAAAACTTAAAAGTACCCTTGTTGAGTTAATCTTATGGAGTACGGACATCTCCGTGAAAACGATTAAATTGATTGTTATATCAGATGACAAAGTAAATTCTGAGGTTTATACATTTAGCATGCCCCATCTCATTTCTAGGGTTAGTTAAATCGACAGTTTCTTCAACTGTGTGTTTTAAACTTGTATAAAAATGATGCATGATTCAGTCTGTCTACTGGTTACTAGTTACTGCACCTTTGTGGCAGAGGGCTTTCTTTAATTACTGTCTTTATCAGGAATGGCTGGTGCTGTATACATCAAGGGAGTTGCTGTTACAAAATACAAACGGTTTGTCTGACTCTGGGATTCTTCGTAATAATCAATGAATTGATAAATTCATGTACAATTAATTTCAAATTTCAGAGCATTGACCGGGGAATGACCTCAGCACGTAGCAAGAGTGTACTGTATACTCTAAGCAGGAAAAGTGGATTTTGTTATACTCATTTTTTTAATGGTCAACATGCCAATACTCCGTCCCTCCTGAGTAGAGGGATTAAGAAATGAAATTTCTAGGGAAAAGAATGGGACCAATACAATTCTTTCCTTAAAGAGATAGTGAAATCCCGTTTGGGAAAACCAAAAAGGAAATGTGGAACTTCTTATTTTATGGATAAAGGGACAATTATTTTTTTAGTTGAACCTTTTAGTTGGCTTTAATAGTTTGGGGTTAAGGTTTTGCTGTTAGTTAGGCCTTTAATTATGCAGAGCCATTTTACAAGCAGTAGAACCTTTGAATTAACACATCAGTTTGATCCTAATGTCGAGTACCGTTTAAAATACACACCAAAGTCTTACTTTTCGTTTCTGCTAATTGAGTTGCATCTTAGGGTCGCTATGTATTTCCTTCTTGCATACAGGTCAGCTGTCAATGATGAGGATGAGTGGCCTTCCAAGTATTCAAAGTTTTTCATTGAAGTAAGACGTAATCTTGGCTATTACCCATGAAGTCAGGGATCACACTAATATACATTATATACTGAAAACTATGAAAAACATTTGAAACTTCATGGGTTTTAAACTCATAGGCAATTTGTGCACTAGTCTGAGAATACATGAAAAATGTTCTTGTTTGAATCTGACAGCAAAAAGAAAACACATTTCTTTATTGGTCACCTAACTTACCTATTTGCAAAATCATAACTTTTACTAGAAATTTTGTATGAAAATTGCTCTAATTCCACAATGTCAGCAATGAAATTTACTTCTTGACCTCAGAAAGTTTAAGAATAGTGTTGAAAAGTGAAAAGCACGTGGTTGGAATTTGTTTAGAAGAGAGAAATGTTATGCTCAACATATTCATTTTCTATAGAGGAAATATAATATTATTAAAAGTTCTCGTAAAAACCAAATGTTGGCAGTTTTGATGATCTATGTCGTATGTTTGATTGGATATGTGGATCTGGAATTATGCGCCTTTTATCAATGACATGTTTAATGTTTCATGCAGTTGGAAAATGGCTTGGAGCTTTCGTTCACTGACAAAAGGAGATTTGCTCGAGTTCGGTTGCTTGAAAATGTATTACCCCATTTACATTTTACGTCATGATGTGGGTTCATCTTTAAAGTTTTCTGATGGTTCAACCTCTGCAGCCAGTTGCTGTGCCTCCTATATCAGAGCTTGGACCTGATGCCTTGTTGGAGCCACTGACAGTAGATGAGTTCCACCAAGCTCTTAGCAAGAAAAAGATTGGAATAAAGGCCCTTTTACTTGATCAGGTTTCAAAAGATCCACTTATCCCTCTGCATTATCTTAGTCTTGGATGCATCAAATAACTACAGGTCTATTTGGCCCCTACTTTTTGCCCTTTTGACTAATTTGGAAACTGGGCCAGCACCGTAGTTCATAAATTTGTAAGTAATTTCCAGGATTTGGATGTAGGTATCTAATATCCTTCAAGTCTAATGACATGCCTAGCTTGAGTTTGTTCCAGTATCAACATCACCAGACTAAGTCCCGAGTCCCCAATTCCTCTTTTCTCCTCTTGCAAACCAGGCGGCAATTAGAAGGCAAAAGAACATTGCCATGAACTAAGGTGTACAAAATCTCAAGTTTAGTAGGCCATACTTATCAAGCAACACAAGATTGTTTAAGTTGCAAATACAATTCTCTTTTATCAAACCAAACATCAAGTATGTGAGTGTCAATCCTCTCAAAAGTCAAGATCAATGATGAGCTCCCATACAGTCAGATCTTTATCTTTGGAGCAAAGCAAACATGCTATGTAACTAATGTAAGAGACTAAGAGTCAATCTTAGCCAAAACTCTACTATAACCGAGCTGAAGACAAATTTCTGGTCATCCATTAAGGTTTTAATTTCAGCAGCTAAGTCATTGTTTCTAATAATCCATCAATATTAAGCTTGATCCATCCAGACTTAGGCCACTCCTAGCAGATCTTCACACCTTTTTTAGGTGTTTTTCCTGTAGAACACGCATTTAAGCTTCCATAACCTGTTTATTTTCCAGATTGAAAGCTCTTCCATCAGCCTCTATTTCCTTATGTCAGACTCTGGTTATTCCTCGCATTTTCACATATAGCTCGAAACCAGAATGGGAAACAAAGGTCTTCTCCATTAGGCCCGGGGGCATTTGATGATCAAGTTTATGACTATTTTCATAAAAACTGAGCGTTCAGGAGGGTAAGGTTGCGTACATCTTGACTCCTAAACCGTAACAATGCTGGGAGGTGTTATACATGACTTGTTCTTGTTCTTAATGAAGAGAACTCAAGTGGGGTAATGTTAATCAGAATATCAGATCGTAAAAATAGTTCGCAACAAATTTTTCTTTTTCTAATTAAAAAAAATATGATACAAACCCACGTTCGATGAGTGGGGAGACAAGAATAGATAGGATCCGGAATGAGGTTATCCGCGGATGGGTAGGAGTGGCACTGGTGGAAGATAAGCTGCGGGAAGCTAGGTTGAGGTGGTTCAGGCATGTGAGGCGGCGGAGTGCTGAGGCTCGGTGCGGAAATGTGAGACACTTATGGTGGTGGGTGTAGTAGGGGAAGGGGTAGACCTAGGAAGAATTAGAAGGAGATGATTAGACAGGACCTAGAAATTCTGGCCTTTATCAAGGATATGACTTTAGATAGGAACGTTTGGGGAGCTAGGATTAGGGTATTTGGTAGGCAGTTTGGCTTGGTGGTAGTTTTTGCACTTGTGTGTTTTTTAATGCTTGGGGTGCTTAAGTGCTTTCCCTTTTTTAGTATTTACTTTGTTCCTTGCTTCCTGGTGCCTTGTGCTTTCTCTACTTTATGTTTCTTCTGTTTTATGTGTCTTTTGTGATCGTGTGCTATCTATGTTATTTGAGCCCGTGGTCTCTTAAAAACAGCCTCCCTACTTTAGAGAAGGGAAAAGGTTTGCGCGCGCACACCTCCCCCAGACCCACTCTTGTGGGATTCAACTAGGTTGTTGTTGCCTAGTAGTTTCACATCATCCACACTTAGATGACAGTGCAATATTAAACCTCATCTGCGTCACATCATGGGGAGCAGGGGAGGAAGCAGTTTGTCAAGTGCTCTACATATGTATAAAGGTAAAGTTAGGAGGAATATTGTCATGCCAAATGTAGACAGCGTAATAGGGCTATATCCATAAAGAGCTCTCAACAGATTTGAGTGAAAATAGCACAAGTGGATCCGTTACATCAAGCTGGTAATTTACTCATGTTGGATATTGGTATAGTACTAATGTCATTAACCGTATTGGTTGGAACCATGGTAGTCAAACTCGCGATCCGAATCGTACGATTATACGAATTCGCGGATCGCCAGCCTATTTCTGATCTAATTCGCACTGAAAATCGCAAATTACCTTGGAATTGGTACGGAGATTGACGGAGAGTATTAGCGAGAGAAGTGAGAGGAAGTTAATGAATGCATAGAAATTACTATCTTGCCCATTAAAAAGCGATGCAATATTGATCAGTGACTCCCAATCGTACGGTGCTTATTCTTTCTCATTTCTTTCATAAGATTTCATTCTCACCGGAACCAAAACATATATATATATATATATATATATATATATATATATATATATAGATTTTGGTTCTGGTGAGAATGCGATCTTAGGAGAGAAATGAGAATGAACTGGTGCTTTAAATTGTGCGATCTAAGGGTCAGGATTGCATCAAAATTGGATGCAACAAAATCGTTTGAAAATGCATTACATCGAAATGCATCATAATCTTTTGAAAATGCACTATCTCAAAATCTGAGCGCACGATGCAATCTGAGCCGCACGATGCAATCTGAGCCGCACGATGCATCAGATCCAACGGCTAGATTTCATTCTCATTTCTCTCCACAAGGTGCATTCTCACAGGAACCGGCCCCTATATATATATATATATATATATATATATATATATATATATATGGGATTGACTCCAGTGAGATGACACCTTACGATGAGATGACATGCTTCGGTGAGATGACGCAAAGCTCACCAGTGGCCACTACAAAGCTCACCAAAGACAACTACAAAGCTCACCAAATTGTAAGGCAAAGTTCACCATATTTTTTTAACACTTTGAATTTTTTTAAAAAAATGAAATCAAAGGAAGGGGTGCTGACTAGATTTTGACCGTTGACCGCCACCTTTGACCGCCATCGGCCACCACCAGCCGCCTCCGGCCGCCGGCCTCTGCCGCCGACCAGTGGTTGATCGGTCAATCTCATATATGTATGTATGTATGTGTGTATGTGTGTATGTGTCTGTGTATGTGTCTGTGTGTGTGTCTGTATGTATGTGTGATTGTATGTATGTATGTATGTATGTATGTATGTATGTATGTATGTATGTATGTATGTATGTATGTATGTATGTATGTATGTATGTATGTATGTATGTATGTATGTATGTATGTATGTATGTATGTATGTATGTATGTATGTATGTATGTATGTATGTATGTAT